TTATCTTAGCGTTTCTGGCCCCGCTTCGTTATCTTAGCGTTTCTGGCCCCGCTTCGTTATCTTAGCGTTTCTGAATTGTTGTATTTAAGATGCATCATGAGCTGCATGTGGCTGGGTTTGTAATTCATGACCACCAGGTGTGTTTTAAGTTGTATCTTAGTGATATCTCTTAGTAATTTATTGGTAGCCTTTTTGAAAACTTCTATGGAGAAAGGGGAATTGTTTCCCCAGGAATTTATTTTCACTTGTGACGTATTTTTTGTTTTCTAACGAAATGAAATGAAGAGTTTGATTCCTGTTTAACCTCCTGACAGCCATGATATCAAGTTAGAGCTCCTGCTTTTACAACAAACCATCTCTTTCTATAAGGGTCGATTTTTACATACGATCTCCTTCTGGAGTGACATCTCTAAAGGACTGAGGCACAGCTGGTGTTTCTGTGGAGGTTCATCTAACAGTTAGCACTTTACTCTCTGGTTTGACTCTTGTATATTTATTTGAAGACGTGCCTGCTGTAGCTTCCCACCACTGTGAACCTCATGGACTGAAGTGGGCGCTGTGTACGGCACACACACCACATGTATGCAGTGCACACTTTCACCTACAAAGCAATAAAATGATAAAGCTCAGAGATCTTTGTTCTGTAATTATGTCTCTTAAGGTAAGGACAATGCAGTAAGAATATTTAAATTTTAAATCATTTCATCAGAAGATAAGTCAGCCTTTCGCTGTGTTTTCTGTCTCCAGGCCTGTCGGAGGTAATCAGCGTTAATCAGACACACCTGCAGCAGCAGACCCCCTCTAATCAGACACACCTGCAGCAGCAGACCCCCTCTAATCAGACACACCTGCAGCAGCAGACCCCTCCACACTCACCTCGTGGCTTTTGTGTCCTTTTCTTTTTTTACAGCATGGCTTCCGTGCAGCGCCTTTTTACACTTATCTGCTCTTGACAGTGCTGACTTTACAGATTCCCCCCACCTATTTGTTTTAGTTGTAAATAGATTACCTTATTAAAGAAGTGCCAGGTTTGTGCCAGTCTTAGACACTATCTGCCCGAGAATCAAGAAAATGAAAGTGGATTTTAGAAAGCACTGAAACAAGTGAAGACAGCTTTGGGCTTGTTGGAAAGAGTAGTTCCTTCCAGATGAGACTGCGTCCAGTGTTTTATGCTACGCTAAGATACGGAGAAGCAAAGTAAAAAACAGGTTTTAACTTTCGGTGAGTCGTGGGTGCGAACATGCTCGTGGCTTTTCTGTCCCGTCTTGAACTCGTTACATATTTGAAGAACAAACCAATGATTCGGTTTATGGTCCAGTTGCAACCTTTGAAACAGCCAAACATAGAGTTTATAGTGTTTGCTTTAATTGGGCAGGTGGGAGTGGAGAGAGATGCCACGATTATTCCCAGATCTGATACCAGACCAGCAGGAATGCACTTCAGGGAAATGTCTTCACTTTCTGACAAAACGAGGAGATCACAAGCACACACTTGAACTTTGATTTCCTCTTAAATACGTACACATTTATTGATTAACGTTTGTCTCAGGATCTCTTTAACTGTCAGCTTGTATACAGTCTTTCATAATCATGTGAAATACAGACGCAGAAGATCTCGATGACGTATTTGAATCTATTGCTCAACGTCCTCTTACACTTTTACGACACGCTGGGACTTTTTCCAGCCCTATTGGGTGAAGGATCAGGAGTTTAATTTGGAGTATAGCGTGTGGGAATAAGGACCAGTAAACATGTCTGGCTTTCTTTCAGACTCCACCTTCACCACACAATGTTTTAATGCACTTTTATCACAAACGATGACTTCACCTTTTAGTTATGGGGGATGGACACTGAACTAGAATAACCGCGTGAAGCCGTGTGTTAGGATTTGAGTTACGCAAAATTTATGTTAATTACATGTAGAAGTTATTTTGATATTTTGTTTTTCTTTGCTGCACAAGCACACACAGGGGAAGAATTCTGGCATCATCATCCAGTGATATTTTATTTCACTGGACTGTTGGTGCCTTACAGATTATGTGAAAATGATGCAGTTTTATTGCTTTTTCAAACTAATGTATCATATTTTATTCTGTTGTTACCTTCCCATTTACGAATTAACCTGAACTTTAAAAGCAAATACTAATTTAGTAATATATTACATTATATCGTCAAACACAAGCCTACAAGAGGACCTGCTCACCCATTAAATTATACTTTCTACAAACAAACAAACTTCTTTGTTGATCTTTAAACACATTTTGTTAACAACATTCATTTTACTCTCTTTGGAACTAGATCATCAGTACATTTCTACAACAAATCACATTATTTCAAATCTGCAAATGGCCCTCAACAGGAAGAACAAAACATTATTCTAGTTTTGGATGCCTGAGCACTTATCGATACACCAGGTGAAATTGTAAAATGTGCAATAAAAATAAAGTGAAGAATATGAAACTAGATTCCAGTGACAGTGACACCCTGCCTCTCCATCAGAGCGTATGTTCTGTCAATCATTTGCAGTTTCACAACATGACGGGAAACTGTATCTAGGTTATTGGTCGCAAGAGGAGGAAGTGTGCTGCTGCGTGTGAGGCTCAGCTCAACTGAACAGCACTCAGGTACGTGACAAGATGAACCGTTTGACTTCCAGGCTGTAATTGAAGTTACCTGAAATGCTTTAATCTTTAAAATATCAATAATATACTCAGCATAAGTGTCAGAGTTATCATTTATTTTGTTTTATTATTCCTTATTCCATATTTGGTGATTTTATTTAAACTTCTTCTCATGCTGCTTTCATTATAATCAGTTTGATAATTAAAATGTATCGGTGCATGTACAAAATAAACCGTTTCAGACTCGCAGGGAAATCTGTACATTACAGTTCTTATAGGAATGTCAGAAAAAAATATAAATACAGGACTATGTTAAATATAAATAAAGGACTATGTCAAATATAAATACAGGACTATGTTAAATATAAATAAAGGACTATGTCAAATATAAATACAGGACTATGTTAAATATAAATAAAGGACTATGTTAAATATAAATACAGGACTATGTTAAATATAAATAAAGGACTGTTAAATATAAGTACAGGACTATGTTAAATATAAATACAGGACTATGTTAAATATAAATAAAGGACTTTGTTAAATATAAATACAGGACTATGTTAAATATAAATAAAGGACTATGTTAAATATAAATAAAGTACTATGTTAAATATAAATACAGGACTATGTTAAATATAAATACAGGACTATGTTAAATATAAATACAGGACTATGTTAAATATAAATAAAGGACTTTGTTAAATATAAATGAAGGACTATGTTAAATATAAATACAGGACTATGTCAAATATAAATACAGGACTATGTCAAATATAAATAAAGGACTATGTCAAATATAAATAAAGGACTGTAGTATTCAATAATTATTGCACATGAGCAGACAGAAAGAAATTAGCCGATGCATAAAAACCAGAGGAGACAATGGATCTCGTACATTTATTTGGTTATTCAACAGCTCATACTTATGAAAATCAAACAACAGAAGGTGATGAACAAACATGGACATTCTGCAGTGTAACAGACATATTTGGTTAACATTCAAATCAACCACAATAGAAGTGTTCCTGAATCATCCATTTTTGGGGAGAGATTTTGTGTGAAATTTGATTTTTAGATTTACTTAACAGAAGAGAATTAGTGTGATAGTCAACTGGGAAGCTTTAAAGCTTTATTGTTCTCATGACACCAACGATCATGATACTTCAGGGCTCCACACTCAGCTTGTCAGATTATCATATTACATGTTAAATATATTTTTAATGTGGTTTGTTTCATACAACGATGCACAATAGTTTGAGAAGAAGATACATATTTTCTGAGATGTTTTGCCTTCAACGTGAACACCTGTGTTTGTGTTTGCGTCCTCTCAGAGGGAGCTGCAGGTGCTCGTTTGCCAGGTAACCCAGGTGACAAAGGAGCATCAGAGGACCTGCAGGGTTGAGAGGGAGTGAAAGAGGAGGAAGAGCTGCAGCCACAGAGAAAGGCCTCCCTTGCTGGATACGTGTGATTCTGAACCTTCCCCCTGGATTTGATCTCTTCATGATGCCCAGTTTGAGCAGGACTTCCTTGGTTACCTGACGTTCTGTCGTGGCTCCACTGCTATGACCTACCTGGCTCACACTGGCCATGCCCAGCTCGGCGCCCTCGGGCTGAGCTGCGTCGGCTGGACGCTCACCGCCGTGGCGCTTGGACTCATCCAGTGGAGGGTTTGGCTGGTTTCTGACAGGGAGGTCATCACCTCCGGAGTGGCCTGGGTGGGCATCTGGCGGGCCTGCTTCAACAGCCACACCCATGTGACCCCTGGCTTTAGGATCATGCACTGCAGGTACATCAGTCTGACTGAGGCCTTCACGCCGCCGGAGATCGTGGCGGGTCAGGTTCTCATGCTCCTGTCTCTGCTGGTGGGGCTTAGTGGGAACGCTTGCGGTGTTTACGCCTTGAGGAACGTTTATTTTGGGATGGAGAAGAGCTCCCCAATCCGCTCGGCGTTCTTCACCACCGGCGCTCTGTGCCTGTCGGCGGCCGTGATGTCCATCATACCTCTCCTGTGGAACCTGAGCTCAGTAGTGACCAATCAGACCATCACGTTCCCCCCTGAGTTTAAAATGCCCCAGGCTCCAGATTCTCAACATGTGGGGTGCGGCATCTGGGTCGGGATGGTGGGGACAGTCCTCATGGTTGTCTCTGGGATTATTTTCTGTACGTACAGGTTACCAGTGAGGTCGCGGCACCTGGACTCGTCATTACCTGCACAATCAGTGACTGACAGCAGGGGGGCCGGCGGGGAAGACAACCCGGCGTTTGAGTCTCACGAACACTTGTGATCCGTCTGTTTGGATGTTTAAACCTCATGAACTCACAGAGGAAACTAATCCCAATGACGACTTCAAAATACTCTCATTTGCAAAATGAGATTGAACTGAAGAAAGAAAAGTAAATCAGCTTCTGGTTTCCAACATGCATTACACCTGATTTTATTTATTCAGCTCATTAATTGTTTACAGTGATTCGTCTAATGTTGTACTCTGGAGGAGGATGAGTTGAATGACAGTAAACACACTTAATCAGATGACATTAAAATGTACAAGTTGCTCACTATTTGTTTTTGCTTGTTTGTTTCGGTATGATGTGGATCTATAGAACAATATACATCGCTCTCACAAAATGCTAATTTAATCTTTCTCAGCGTAAAGCTGCAGTGCTGTTATTTTAAATGCTAATATGTTAAGAACAGTATAGCTGAGATACATGACATGAATAAATGTAAAAATGTGTTTATATGGCTGTTGATCTAAGTAATTCAATATATATATTTATGGTAATAGAATACCAGCTGTTTTAACTGATATAAAAAGAGATTAACTGATTAACTTGGGGCAGGTTGCATTAACCTCACCATACTGACTGAACTCATACTGAAACTGAAGTATGAGTTGCTTCCTGATTTCAAGTAAATGAAAGCATAATGTATGTGGGCACAAACTGCACCGTTTAATTGAATTAACTAGAATCTGAAGCTGTTGGATTCGGACACTTTTACATTCCTTCAATGAGTACTAAGAATAAAAGCACTCAGCAGTATTTTCTTAAATATTTTATTCAAAAAAAGCAACAAACTCATCTCCAGAATTTCAAACCATCTGTATCAATGCTCCTCTGACGATGAACAGTCCCTTCGCCTCACTGGGATCAGCGTTATGGCTCAAATCACAGCCCTTCCTGTTCACCGACGCACCAAAGGAAAGATGATGAACAGTCGGTCGGGTTGAGATAATCTTTTACTTTGAAGGACACCTCTGAGAAATGACAAGAATCGAGTATAACCAATGCTCGACTTCATTTAGAAAAGGATCATTCCTTTGAAAGAAGCTTTGTTTCTGGATGCTGAAAAACATAATGCGTGGCAGTAGAGGCAGCTGACATGACTTCGTATTGAGTGAACAGATAGATGTCCCAGAGCTGTGGTTCAACCATCACACGCTGGCTGTTTGAGTGTTTGTGATGAGGATCGTTGGTCAGTTTGGGGCTGCTCGTGATCCTAACCTTCTTGAGGAACTTCATACAGCACACAGAGTGAGACTTTCTTTCCAAAAAACACAAAGAAAAGCTTAAAAAACAAGCACTGACACCACATAATAACATGTCACTGTTCGTAGATGACTATTTGAAAGATTTTTCTTTAAACAAACTGAGTTTAAACACCGCATGACTGTCAGCGAGCAAAAATGTTTCCATATCGGGTATATATTTAGATATATCGCTACAGAACCAACCCCTCTAATATAAATAAAAGAAGACTGCAGATACATGTGGCATATCAATCAAACGCACTCCAATACTGAATACAACATATACAAGTAAAGCACAAATATCATTTAAAATGTGTTTTGGAACTCTCAAATGTTACCGCATCGGGTCAATTATTATCATCTTTTTACAATTTTATGACGGGGGCAGTTCCTCTGAAACAGCACAGAGGCTGTAAATGCAAAACATGCCGAAACAAATGTTGACGAACTGCTAATCCAGCTGTATATCAGCACATAATATGTGTCGTGACTCTCTGGTAAGAACGTCTACGAATGCCCTGAATGTTGTCCAGAAGATGTGTGGATTGAACTGCCCGACTGGATCTTTGACATCTAGCTTTGAGTCAGAAATGAAGAGGAGTGCATTGTTTATCAATGTCCTGTAAAGAAGAAGATGGTGCCAAACCAAGTGACACAGCGTAACAACACAGGACGCCACATCTTGAGATTCTCACATTTGAATTGAACTATTTAAACTTGATCGGTTATTACAATCATTTCCAAAACAGCGTGCGGAGCAATTGCTGAATTCTAGAAGGCAAAAAAGGAAATATTAGACCCGCTGTCCTTTTCCTCGTCTGTTCAACTTTCCTCAAACATGGAAGCCCTGATAAGAGTCGCTTTTGATCCAGATGGTTTGAAACTGAACAGAAATACGTACATACATACAAAATAAAATACAAAATAAGAAAAAATAAATGCAGGAGGTTTAATCGTGCCAAAGTCCACCAGTCTGTTCTTGATAGACCTCGATGACGTCCTCGTCCTCCATCCCCAGCTACCATGGACAAACAGCAGAGACACATATTGGAAAGACATGCAAGTCATGTAAGACATGGAAGTCATGATTGCAGTTAATCATTCCAAGAATGAATGAATGATTAAAAACAGGAAGTAAATGTCTACATAACTAACTAGTATGTCATAAAAGAAACACACGTCCACCTGGATCTATAGAAAGTTCAGAGACTGTTCTCTGAACTTTCGATTTTCTGAAGAATGTCTAGCAGTCTTGAGAAAATAACACATACTCAGCTTCTCTTTGCAAAATCGGTTAGACACAACCATGTGAATTAAACAATATCATTTTTAACAGGATAACAAAGTACATTTTTATCTGAAGGGATGCTGAAGTCAGGAGAGACAGGTTTACCTCTTTTGGAGTTTGGTTGTCTGCGATTCTCTGTCCTTCAAACAGAAACCGTAGCGTGCTTGCTGGAACACCCTTTAAGAAACAACACAACACCAATCTGAGATAATGGCCTCTGGTGCTGTTGGAGCTGATCTGACATCTTTAAAACAAAAAGTTAGCCTGTGAATGCCCAGACTCAAAATCTAGTTAGAAGTAACTTAGAAAGACCAAAGACCTGTCTCTGGCTGTAAGACTCCTTCAGCTTCTTCAGATGTGTCGTCATTTTAACCTTAAAGTGGATTTCGCTGCTGTCCTGTGGGCAGAGAGAGAACATGATTATGAGAAGCAGCGTGACAGCTTTCTGTTGTTGCAAAATAACAACATTACTGGAAGAAGTCCAAAGAAAGCGACACCTGAATGAAACCAAATCACTTACAGGAAATGATAGAGTTTAAATAATATAGTTTTAGACTTGTGGATACATCACACAGCTTAACACCTGTTCAAGATGAACTTCTCCAAAGCAAAACTTGTAGCTAATACGTTTAAGTTAAAATAAGTGCAAACATTCCGCAGATCGTACCTCCACAGTCATTTATAGAGCAGTAACCAGAGCCTACACACTACACTGATTACACAATAGCACATCAACAACTTGTGTTCAGTGTTTAATACTCCTGTGTTATGATCAATGAGACACATCCATCATCCCTGCGTTCATACACACCTGACCGATCACTTTTAGTTTGATGTACTCTCCATCCTTCTTGTCCCCCCCGTCTTGGCTGGATGGTTTTGTCTCCTTAAAAAACAACAACAAATAAACAGTTAAAACAGTTAAACGCCACACACATTACAAATAGGCCCGAAGGCTTACTGTCGCTGATACAACACTGTTATTAGATATGGGAATGGTTCGGCCTCATAATTCTGGTTTCGCTTATTGTTTTATAGCTGAACTTTGAAACTAAGCCGCAGAGCTAAACTGCTATTTAAGCATGTAGCTCTGGGCCTGAAGCTACACGAGCTATCAGTTAGCATGCTATTTAACCAGAGACGAGGTACCAGCCACACACAGACACTATCATTTGTCACTTTTTAAATTTAAAGCAGAGTATGAACAATAAAGACTCTCTAAAGTTAATATCTTACCGTATCTGACATGTTTTCTCTCTGTGTATGCTGTTAAAATGAGTGACAATAGATGCAGCTAACGCTAGCTTTCAATCGCAGCTCTTAGCTTGATGTTGTGAGAATTCTCTTCTTCTTCTACTTCTTTTTTTGAGGTTTACTGGCGGTTGGCAAACAAGGGTTAGAATTGGCGCATTACCGTCACCAACTGGCACGGAGTGTGGATCACTGGACGTGATGTTTTTATTACATAGTAATAGGGTTTAATATTGGAAACTTTGCCATTTTTTAGGGGCAAATGTTCTGATTGGCCATGTGCACTGTGATAGCAAAGAATATAATAATAATAATAATAATTTGTATAGCACCTTAAAAACAGAATTTACAGACAAAACAGCAAAAACAAGACAATAATAACAATAACAGAAATCTACATACAAATAAAATAATAAATAAATAAAATTATATATATATATATATATATATATTTATTTAGTAAAATAATTAAGTAAAATCAACAAATAAAAATAAAACAGAAATAAAACAGAAAAGTGACGACATTACATAAAAGCCAGCCTGTAAACATGTATAAAAACTATTTAAAATTATTATTATTACATGTCTCTGACGTCACAGGTTGTGTTTTTGTTGGGGGTTAAGACCTGTCAAGTACACAACAATAAAAAATAAGATATCTGGTTAAGTGTTTTCAACATAAAGGACGAAATACGTAGCTATGCGTTTTCCCTACGTGAGACATTTGTGATTTTATTTTGTCAGCAAAATATGTACACTTCCGGTGTCCATTTGTTCATTAACACCTGTTAGCTTAACGCAACCGAGCGACAACAGCGAGCGAAGCTACCGTCACCCAGGTTGTAAAGTGTCGGTTAACTTTGCTTTTTCTGTTACCTCCCAGACACGGAGATACTTTGTAGGATAAACCGTTATCTTGTCCTTTATCTGCCTGGAGATATACCCAGCGGGCTAAAACTGACACAGCCGTCTGGGCCTCGTCGTAGTGGCCCAGACTCGAGTGAAGTTAGGACAAACTTCTGCTTCCTTTAGCGGCTCTCCGCGGGGCTCCTGTCACCGGCCCTGTGGATGAGGACGTGAACACGCATCCAACCGACCACCAGGTGAGATGATGAAGATGATGAAGATGAAGCTGTTCGCTCCAGACCGTTCATTAGGTCGTTTAATTGTTGCTTTTTACGGTCGAGCCTTGAATAGCTAGTGCGGCTAGCTAGCATTAGCTTGACAACTTCCCTGGCCTGACAGCTAGCTCTCTGCGAGGATCTCTCGGCTAGCATTAGCCACTTAGCTTGTTAGTCAATGTTAGCATGCGGGGCTAGCAAGTTGACTCAATGCTAACGATAATTATCTACCACAGGAGGCCGTAATAGTGGCTGTGTTGTTGGTATTAACTTTGCTGGGACTGGTGGTGTTCGCTCACTAGCTAGCCAGCTAGCCACCAGAGGTTTGCATAGGAAGGTATTCGTTTTATAAATATGTTAAGTGGTGTCATAGCTCACTGTCATCAAGTGGATGTCAGTCTTCTGTCTGTAGATTAATACATTATGTCTGTAGTGTTACATGTTAACATCAGACTGTAGATTAATACATTCTGTCTGTAGTGTTGCACGTTAACTTCACACTAATAACACATTAAATATTATGACAACTCGTGATGATTATGTTTACCTCCACTGTTCACAGATCAGCTGATCACTCAGCAGCTTCAGGCTCTGACTTGTGGCTCGATCAGCTGTCAAGATGTAAATTGTCCTTTTGCTGTTGCAGGAGAAAGGAATCCCTTTGATGGTAGAATCCTCTTTCCTGGCCTCCTGGGTCAATCGCAGTGCCATGATGATGGGTACGTGCGTGTGTGTGTGAGCCAGCTAGCTTCGTCTTTCATCAAACCTTCAACCCAAGAAATGTATTTTCTGCTGAATAATGTGTCTATTACTTGTTCTTACTGCTGGTTTGAAAGACAACAAAAGAGGATTTTAAATATTTTTTACGTCTTGAAATAAGAGTCCTACAGATAATATTGTGCAGTCCTGCAAAAGTAATGTTTACATCAAATCCTAAACTGAAATCTCGTCGTCATCAGATGAGCAGGAGGCGCTGAACTCGATCATGCAGGACCTGGCCGAACTGCACCGCTCTAGCCGTCCTGCCATGTTCCTGTCGGACCTGGGCAAACCCAAAGCCTCCTCGCCGAAGAACCAGGTAACCGCTTCCTCAGACGCTCGCCAAGAATGTCAGCCAAAGATCACAAAGTGCCGGTGATGGCCCTGAACATTAGGGAGCCAGAGCCTCTTGTCCTTTGCTTCTTAGAAAAACAAGAGGCAATAAAATGTGTTCTCACGTCTCTGTTCATTCATCTGATATGATGTCTTTCCTACAGAACGATGTCAGAGTGAAGTTCGAGTTCAAAGGGGAGAAGAGGTGAGGACCAGTTTCACCACTTTATTGTTGTCGATGCTGAAAGCTCTGACCTCTGACCGTTCTTCTTCTCTGTAGAATCTTACAGTTCCCTCGACCTGTCAAGCTGGACGACCTGAAGGCGAAAGCTAAAGTGGCTTTCGGTCAGACGATGGACCTTCACTACACCAACAATGAGGTCTGAAGCCTTCACAGGTGTCGTGAAGACGTTTCACGTGCATGTGAACTGAAACGTGACGGAGGCGTTGTATTGAATGACATATAAAACTATTGTTTTCTTCTTGCAGTTGGTGATTCCGCTGACCACTCAGGACGACCTGGACAAGGCCGTGGAGCTGCTGGATCGCAGTGTTCACATGAAGAGCCTGAAGATCCTCCTGGTGCTCCAGATCTCCTCTCAGGTGAGCAGCTCCCAGACTAGCTTCACTGTGTAAGTAAGTAAGTAAGCTTCAGCAAAACGTGCATGCCGTTAATTTGACCTCTGAAGCCGTGTTTCTTTTAGACTATCGTAGCATGCAATGTGAAACTGATACCGAGGTACAAAACAAGAAGTTAAGTCTCCAGACGTCTCTGTTTCTCCAGAACTCTTCCTCCAATATGGACCTCTTGCGGTCCCACGAGGAGCTGGACAACACGAGGTTCAGAGTCGCCGACCAGAAGAGTATGCTGGCTTTGATCGGTGAGTAATGTCTCCTGGTCACACTTAAGCTAAATAGAAATTCACAGACGTGAAGCAAACTCAAAATAAATGCTGCATCACTCTGATGCACCTCCTGACTATTTCACACAAGTAGACATTAATAATAATATTTACTCTACAATCATCTCAGGCTCCCATTCGACAGACCGCAGCTCCCCTCCTCCCGGTTACATTCCCGACGCGCTGCAGCAGGTGGCGAGGAACGGCTCCTTCACCAGCATCAACAGCGAGGGGGAGTTCATCCCTGAGAGCATGGACCAGGTAGGGTCAGAACCACGCACTGACATCACATCCTCTTCATATTTACAGTCATATTATGTGAGTTTCTGTTCTCCAGATGCTGGACCCGCTGTCTATGAGCAGTCCAGAAAACTCTGCGTCTGGAAGTTGTCCTTCTTTAGACAGCCCTCCGGACAGGTCAGGGCCTCAGCACTTTATTTACACCGTCGCACGCTATGCCTGCTTTTGTGTGCACACCACGTCTCAAGTAAACTCTACTAATCTACTTTCTGTTGTTGTCGTGCTGTGCAGCGACTATCCCAAGTCCAGGATGCCCCGAGCACAGAGCTACCCAGACAACCACCAGGACTTTCCAGGTGAATGTTTGAGAGTTCTGAGAACATTTTAATACCTTATGCATGTTTAATTCCATCAAGTAGCTGCTGGGTGTGATTGTATTTTTCCTGGATCTTCATCTCCCTCCTCTTCGTCTCTAGAGTACGACGTCCCAGTGTTTGAGAAGTCGGGGAAAGGTGGGACGTACCCTCGGAGATACGGCATTCCCTTCGGTCTTCAGGATTACAGTGATGGTGGGTTATTTGCCTGAATAAGTAAGATATAAAGAATTTACTTTCACTACGGCTGCATGAGCCAGACTCTGTTTATAACCCTGGCTGTCCTCTTCCTCTGCTCCTCTTCCTCTGCTCCTCTTCCTCTGCTCCTCTTCTTCTACTCAGGGAGGAAGACCTTCCCTCGTGCTCGGCGAACGCAGGTTCACGGCTTCCGCTCGCCGGTTAGCTTCAGCCCGACGGAGCAGTCCCCCAGCACCAGCAGCGGCAGCAGTGTTTTCACTCCCGACCTGGAGGAGGCCCCGGGGCCCGCCAGGAGGCCGCGGAGGGGCAGCGACATCGAACCCAACCCGACCGCTCCCACGCTGTCTGTAATGGACATCAGCCCGCCCAGCCGCTGTGAGTCGCATGTTGATTTCATGTGTCGGAACACACCGGTGCACAAAGTGTCTCGGCTTGTTATCTGATGTTTTTATTTCAGCTCCTCGCGCCCCAACAAACTGGCGGCTGGGAAAGCTCCTGGGTCAAGGCGCCTTCGGACGGGTTTTCCTCTGTTATGATGCCGACACTGGACGGGAACTGGCGGTCAAACAGGTCCAGTTTGACCCAGAGAGTCCGGAGACCAGCAAGGTGAGAGACGTAGGAATGTTCATGATCAAATAGAAAGCATGTATGGAAGGTTAACAAACAGGAAAAGATGAACGTTCTCTTTCTTCCCGGTCGTTTAGGAGGTGAGCGCTTTAGAGTGTGAAATCCAGCTCTTAAAGAATTTGTGTCACGAGCGGATCGTCCAGTACTACGGCTGCCTGCGGGACACGATGGAGCGAACGCTCTCCATCTTCATGGAGTACATGCCCGGCGTGAGTTTACCTTTAAATTTGGACTTAATGTGGCAATAAATGGTCTCCTACCTGCTGATGTTTCTGTGGTTTGGTGGTTGAAGGGCTCCATTAAGGACCAGCTGAAGTCGTACGGAGCGCTAACGGAAAACGTGACGCGCCGCTACACCCGGCAGATCCTGGAGGGGGTTTCCTACCTGCACAGCAACATGATCGTCCACAGAGACATTAAAGGTGAGGGGGACACTTCGTGTTATCCGACATCGGGAAGATGCAGCCGGGTGACTCTCTCTCTTCCTTGTTCAGGGGCCAACATCCTTCGGGACTCGGTGGGTAACGTGAAGCTGGGAGACTTCGGGGCCAGTCGGCGACTGCAGACCATCTGTCTGTCAGGAACGGGCATCATGTCGGTGACCGGCACCCCCTACTGGATGAGCCCAGAAGTGATCAGTGGAGAGGGGTACGGCAGGAAGGCCGACATCTGGTGAGACCTCGCATAAGTCCTGCTCTTTTGAGCTCGACTCCAAATTCAGAGCTGCCATTGCAAAGAAAACATAAATTACAAAGATAACCAACCTTGTAATGGCAGTTTCATAAAATAACACTTTAAGTCCTGAAGGGGAGCTGGTCTGTGCTTGAATGGCACATTTGGTCCTCGTGTTCTGGTTCTAATGTGTTTTTCCTCCTTTAGGAGCGTCGGCTGCACCGTAGTGGAGATGCTGACTCAGCGACCCCCGTGGGCAGAGTTTGAGGCCATGGCGGCCATCTTTAAGATCGCCACCCAGCCCACCAACCCTGTGCTGCCGGCCCACGTGTCGGACCACTGCCGAGACTTCCTCAAGCGGATCTTTGTAGAGACTAAGCAGCGTCCGTCTGCCGACGAGCTACTGAGGCACATCTTTGTACATTAGCCTGAATCTTTAACCCCCGCCTACCTGATTCGGCCTTACCCGGTGGGGCGTCCTGGCCTCTGACTTCTCCCCCTCCCCCTCCATGCTGGAACTATATGGACCAGGAGGAACCGGCTGAAAGAAGGCGGGGTGTGTGGACAGGTGGTGGGGTGCGTACAAGCTCCTCCCGTCTCTGTTTGTATGAGACCGCCATAGAGGACATGAATTTACATTTTATTTTTCTCCGCAAGTTGCACCTTAATTTCTCAACCAAGGAGGGGCGGAGCACTTTCTCCTTTTTTATGTTTGTACGGTTCCTCTCTTCACGCGTTGGAGCGGGATGGTGTCGGTGTCGTGGACCTGCAGGAGATGATGCCTGGACCCCCATCTCGCTGACCCGACCCCAGAATGTAGTCTCCTGCCAAAACCCAGAGGGATGGTGCCGACCTGGGCCCGCTGCTATCGACGAAACTAGTGCAGAGAACACTCCCTCATCCCGCGTCCTCTTCCTCTCCGTCTCTGTCTCTCTGCTTTACTGTCGACCTGCCTCCATCTTTGTTCTTCGCCATGTGCCTTTTCTGTTTGTTGAACTTGGTGTAGGACTGAGTCCTGAGTTCTTCGCCACAAGGTTTCTCAGTTTTCTTTTGCCTCCCGGATAAACTGCCTTTGCACCGTCAACCCCGCAGATCTCCGTTCAGCCGTAACGTTCTGGAAGAGGACTCCTGGAGGAGAGATGACGTCTCTTCGTACTCGGATCAGATTGATCTCTTGTCATGACTCCATTACTTGAAGCAGGAGAGAGGCGAGAAGCTCACAGCTGATTGGCCGGAGGTCCGGCTGCATGACGCTGAGGTCGGCTTATATTTCAGACTAGACAAACGTGGAGGATGAGCCGCTACGCTCACAGGTAACGTATGTGTCCATCGCTGCAGAGACGCTCCTCAGATCAGACTTCACACTGGAAGACGTTTACAGCATCGCAGCTTCTTTTCTTTGTTTTTGCCAAATCAGATGTGAACTCGTCACTTTAGCCGAACCACAAACACTCCATTCGACATGTCTCTCTCGCTCTCGCTCTCTCTCTCTGTTTCCTCCTGAGCTTCCAGAACGTCCGTTAACAGAACGCCTACGAGCACATTAAAGACTATTCAATGTGATTCATTACGTGCTCTTCAACATGATCAGTAACACTGAGTTCTGCTCCGCTCTTTGCTCGTTTAGTTTTAAAATGCCTTTAATATTTGTTCAGGCTGCTGAATCCCCAAACATTTGATTATTATTATCAAACGGAGGTGATGAGTCTCGGTGTGTTTAAGTGTCGGTCGCAGCTTCACGTTTAATGAAAGAAACAATAGGATTCAAAGGCAAAATCTGACCTCATTAAAGGTGCAGTCAGTCACTGTTTACCGGCACAGATTAACCGCAGTGCGTCTGCACAGAGAAAGACGTTTTATTTGCTCGTTAGCTGTTTGATTGTTTCCGTTGTTCTAACCACCGTAGTCGGTGTGCTGCTGAGCTGTCGGGTGTTTAGTGGAACATGAACACTGTGGTACGATGAATAATGCTTTTCTGTTTCTGGTACTCGGTAACACTTTAATTCTGTAATAATGTTAAACACATCTCCTGTAAAGAGCGAAGTGGTTTGGTACGATGTAATTCAAGGAGAACAGAGTCTCTAATAATAATACTTTGATCTAACCTTGCTCATCTACTTCTAATGTTTACCAGCAAACGTTCTAGGGATGATTTTCTCTTTAATTTCCTGATCAAGTGAATTCTGCGTTTGTTGTTATAGTTGCTCACAGCGGCCACTAGATGGTAGTAAGGAGACATTTCACTGATTGCACCTTTTTAACAGCAGGAGGAAGATATTGTTGCTCATCAAGCTTTCTCTGAAGGAACTAGTTTGACTTCAGCAGCTGTGATCGGCCGGTTGATCCACAGAAACAAACTCAATCTCTGCGTCTCCAGAACCGACCGTGTCCAAAAGAAGCGAGGGAAGAGAGAGACCGTTCGTTTTGCAAACATTGGTGGTTGTGTTGCGTTTGAGGCGGCTGGCAGTGAGCTGTTGTGAAGGCCGTCAGCACTGGTAGACCTCGAGACGCACAACCGTTCTGCACTATCTTTGATTCACTGACGCTTTCTCACGATTCCTCGTCGGCTCCGTTCAGCGACCTTTTCTTTGCACATTTTAAAGACTATTTTTTTATTTTTAAACAAGTGTTATAGTGTGTGTGTGTGAGAGAGTGAGTGAGAGAGAGAGAGAGAACTCAATACAAGAATGTAACGTCTCTTTACCGTCAGATGGCCTCGTTCACCACCAAGGATTAACTCCTCAGTAACAGTATTTGTCACCTGCAAATGCCGAGATACACCTGTACACTCTTTAGTGTCTAAAGCCACTGCTGCCACTCCTGTGTGTGTGTGTGTGTGTGTGTGTGTGTCTGTGTCTGTGTGTCTCTGTCTGTTTTGTGTGTGTCTGTCTTGTGTGTGTAGACATGCATTTACTGCAATTTGTGCTATTTGGACACTGCGCCCAAAATGCCTTGAGCATTCTGACTGTAGGAGGGGAGAACATTCAAATGATGATTTAAAAAAATAAAAAATAATGAGAAATAATGTACAAATGTATAAAATGAAAATGTACCTTTTTTAAATAAGCAAAGTCCACATATATCCCACAAGTTTGGTCTCTGTGTATTGTTAAAGAAGCCATGTTTATAATTCTAATTGGTTTGTGACCAATACGCCTGTTTATATCAGATCTGTATATCAGTGGTACGCATAATTTTTTAATATATATTTTTTATTTTACTTTTTTTTTAAATGGGAGATTTTATGCATGGTTGGGTCTTGAGAGACGCAGCGGTGCCGTTGAATAGTTGCTGTTTTTTGGCAAAATTCTGGAGTATTGCGACAGCTCTGTGTTCATAATTACAACAATTATGACGATGGAAAAACAATAAAAAGATATTTATTTCACTTTTTTGTGAGTGTTTTTATGTACTCGTATTCTCTTATTTGTTACGCTTTCATATAACTTTATGACCCAGAGATGAACAAAATATTATTTTATTCTGAAACTTTTCATTTTAATGTCTTCACCGGAAGATAGTCAGCAAGTGTATATCAAAGTAATATTAGATTTAGATCATGACTTTTAACGCCCTCTAGTGGCCACAGTTAATAACTACAATGGTGTTATTATCAAGCTGGACAAATTGCATACAATCAATACTTCTGGTTGAATCATTCAAAATAAAAGCTCAAGGAATGTAATTACGCACTTGACCACCAGAGGGCTCCCATGTGAGTTTATTTGCATGTTTAGTTTTGTCCGGTTCTGTACAATAATCCATAAACTGCAGTGACACTCCGACCACTACTTTAATGAGCTTTTTTAATCAAACGTTACACGATTTGTATTTGACAAACACGTTTACAAAGTGCATTCTGTTGTTTAATTAATGTTTTTAATGTGTTCATTTTAATATGATTCAATACATAAAAATGAAGTATAATATTGGCTTTATGTTCTATGTTATAGTTATCTTGTATTCAATCACTCGCATTCTACAATGATTGGTTAACAAATCCTGTTCCCGGACTACCGGAAACCTCCCGCAGGGGGGAAGTACTCTACATTCTGCCAAAAATAAAAGTCTCCACGCTGACAGAAACAAAAGCATTCCAACGATATTGGAAAAAGCATCAACATGACCTGACTTGGGAGAGACATGAAACACTGAAGGCATCATTCCTGAATTATTTTTACACATTCCATCATGGGTTCCTCGGCGGCTGCAGCCCGAGCTCTCCGGCTCTCTGCGCGCTGCGCCCGGGCTCTGCCGGCGGTACAGGCCGGTACGGAGCTGCGCCACCGGGCCTCTGCTGACAGAAGAAACATGACCGTCCAGGCGGCCGCTGAGCCGGGGAAGCTGAAGAGCATCGACGACCTGCCCGGACCCAGTCTGTGCACCACTCTGTACTGGTTGTTCGTCAAAGGATATGCGGACAAGAGCCACTTACTGCAGGTACAAAAAACAAAGTTATTCTTCATTTAAAGCTTATTTCTCTGTTTGTAGTCACGTGTAATGTGATTTACTTCACTTATAAGAACACCAGCAGCTTTAAAAAGCGAGTTGGATGTTTATTAGAGTTTATAATCTTCATTATGGAGATTAGATAACAGCACGTGAGTGAACTGTTCTATTATATACACGTCGTATTGAAGTAACAGTAGTTTAGTGTCATTAGTGTATTAGCCTAGAATGTCACAGTGTTTGTGCAGTATTGACTCCATTAATTTGTAGTATTTGTAATATTTTCACAGAAACTTCAACAGAAAACTTTGCAGATACAGTAACTGTGTTACAACAAAATACAAATGTACAAAAATATAAAACAAAAACCAGCAAAGAAATTAAGACATTCAAATAAGTCAACTTGTAATTGCACAGACTGGTCAGAGATGCATGTTGACATGATACATGCTTCTGTCACGTGTTAGTATTTACTAAATGCTGCAGGAAAGTTACAGATGTGGAAGAAGTATTGAGAATATTTATATGTGTAAAAGTGGGAATAAGAAGTGAACAAGTTATTTCTAAATGAATAACATCTCTGGAGCTGAGTCACCGCTGTGTTTCCTCGTTCATTGATACTCACTGAAAGTACTCGGTTACTTTAAACTGAATCAGCACTCTGAGTTCTTTTAGGGTGTGCAGAGGAGCCTTTACGGGCCCATCTGGCGCTCCAGGTTCGGCCCGTTTGACATCGTGAACGTGGCGTCTCCGGAGCTCATAGCTCAGGTGATCCAGCAGGAGGGCCGCTACCCGTCCAGAGCCGAGCTGCCTCACTGGAAGGAGTACCGGGACCTGAGAGGACAGGCCTACGGGCTGCATGTGGAGTGAGTGGAGACAGATGAGCTTCCATCTGAAAGGAAAGATGTTCCCCTCTAGTGTGAAATCTGAAGACGCTCTTTAACTTTCCAGCACGGGACCGGAGTGGTACCGGATCCGCAGGGCCCTGAACCCCAAGATGCTGAAGCTGCACGAGGTGTCGGCCTACGCCCCCATCATCCACCAGGTGATCGGAGATCTGCTGCGCCGCGTCGAGTTCCTCCGAAGTCTCAGCCAGGACCAGGTCACCGTCTCAGATATGGCTTCTGAGCTCCACAAGTTTGGCTTTGAAGGTGGGGGGGTTTGTTCTTCAGAAAGCTTGACTTCTGGGGAACGGGTTGTGATTGGTTTGACCTCCTGCAGGTATCTCCTCCATCTTGTTTGAGACCAGGTTGGGCTGCCTGCAGGAGGACATTCCCCCGGACACGCTGCGCTTCATCACCGCCGTCAATGAGATGCTGACGCTGTCCGAGACCGTGCTCCTCCTCCCCCGCTGGAGCCGCCGCGTCCTCCCCTTCTGGAGGCGCTTCGTTCAGGCCTGGGACGACCTCTATGACGTAGGTATGACAAGAGAAGGACCGACGGAGGAGCGGATGCAGCGCGGGGTTCAAACACAAGTCAGTAAAGAGTTCTGTGTTTTCCTACGGCAGCTCGGTCCCTCGTCGACAGGAGGATCGCTGAGATTGAAGCTCAGGTGTGCAGCGGCGAGCCGGAAGGGGGCATGTACCTGGCCTACCTGCTGTCCTCTGGCACGCTGACCAGAGCCGAGGTCTACATCAGCCTCACGGAGCTGCTGCTGGGAGGGGTGGACACGGTGAGGGGGGGGGGCTGGTTCTGGTTCTGGTTCTGGTTCTGGTTCATGCTGCTGGTTTCTGTGTGTGATGCTGTTTTGCTCC